TACCATTGAAAACTTGGCGACAAGAAGACGTTAGCATTGAGTTACTAAAGCACACCTGCCAACACTGCGTCGCGATGCAACTCTTCATATAGTCATAGGACAATGTCAGACTTTTTCTAAACCTGACTATCATCAAGGTTGCAATTTCGATTTACAGTACTCTCTGCAAAATCAAGATGCGCAAGCAGGAGTATAAAGAATTTTCAAATGACCTAACAAAGAATGCAGTCTTTATTATTACGGTTAAAAAGAATGTTTTTGTGTACAAGTTGTGATGAATTAAAGAAAGTGATGACTGCATCGGTTAAACACATCACAAAACGAGCTTTCGTCTTTTTTTTCCAGCGGTGATTTGTGTCCGCTAAGGACTRAAAAACAAGAACGCAAAATAACGGCGTAAAGTCAATTATTGAGCGTACATGAAGCAKGGGCTCTGGAAAGATAGAATGCTAGACATTATTGATAGCTTTAGTACAATGCTTGGGGCATTATTACACAGTGTAGWAAGGTTACTACCGGGAATACCACAAGTCAGGGGACATAAATGAATTAAGGAGKATCTCTGAATGTTATCCCAGTAAGTCTGTCAGCGCGGATTGTTGAAATTATAGCGGATCTTAATCACCGTACATTATCAAAGGTTGCATTTATAACAAGTCAGAATTTTACTTGGTGACATCGGTTTAATTAATACAACATTACAGTCTACATACAAGGTGTATGGTATAGTATAAAGTATCAAAGAAAGGCTGGTTTTCATATGTAGGTGAAGAGTGTTGTGTAATAAAAGAAGAAAGAAAATGCAACACAGCGAATCGCAGACTGTATGCYGCGTAGGAGTTGCGTAGGAAGGAAAAGTTGAAATAAAACTCAGAAAACTTAAGTAATTAAATCAAACAACCAATGATTAAAGCCATTAGATAGGCAGACTGGTAATGACTTCGCATGGGCTTCTCGCAACTCTTATTGTCAAAAYGCTTAGAAACAACGAATCAAAGGACAACCTGCTAAATTATCATAAAAATCATCAAATCGTCAGTGGGATATTAGACGGTGCCTCTTAAAAGAATATAGAACATTTTCAAAAAAGAATGATTGATTGAAATGATTCCTAAGTGATTTYATTTAATTCTAGTGAAGATATGAAGGCGCCAGATGATTGCTTCTAGAATCTTTCTTCCGTCAACAAGTACTGTTCAATAGACTTATACACGGCAGCTATTTTGTAGGAAGTGTAGGGGATGTCAGTTTAAGATATAAAACTAGAACCTTAATCCATTCTGCTCTCAGATGTTGTTGTTATGTCTAYTTTGAATGACATGTTTAAGCTTTAAATCGGTATAGACGTAATTGTCTGAATCACGACAATGCTACTTTTCAGGGTTTTGTTAATCCACTTTAAAAATTCATCTTGGTCTTTTTCGATTTTCATCAACTAAGATCCCAATCTCTCAATAGAGCGTACTTTAATTACGGCATCGGTTATTACCCGTGAAATTTTGTGTAAATAAAGATACTATGATAGCTTCATTATTAGAGCCAAAACTAAAAAATTTCCATGGGCTCCTATAATAAAATCAGCCTTAACATCGTCGACGCTACATAGAGAGAAGGCAAAGATCTTAACCAATACTGGCTACAGGRACTTTCCATCGTTAATAGCCAGTAATTTCCATGGACCAATAAAGGAGCGATTGACTAGAAACGTCATGAAAACAAAATTTCATTGACACTGCGTGAGATTTTTGGCAAGCTGCTTGGCGACTAGCGCGGTAAACGAAGCTTCAGCAGTCCGATCTGCACAAAAAATGGAGCGATTTAGACGTTGGAAAACGAAGCAAGGTATTTCCTATGCAAAGAACAACGAATTTTCACCTAAATGAGCCATAAATATTGAAATGCATGACATTTTGGTATTGTAGACATTAAGATTGCAGGTTGATTATTATTTCTAGACAAACATTAGAAAAATACCTGTTCTTTAGACTAAATTTGTAGTGGAATAGACGTAAAAACCGTAGAAAAAAATCTATAGAATTATTCGAGTTTTTGAATAATATATACATCGATCTCAGAATCACTTATTCTATAAGGGATAATATTCAATTTAATATATTTCCAGTGCAAAATTGCAACTTCCGCGTTGTAGAAAGTTCAGGATGAGAACTAATTGCAGCCTTACATTGTATGCACTTGTATACATATGAACAAACATGAGAAACAGCGCGGTAGTATCAAAGCTGTATCACATGCACTCAATATCCACACGAGCGCGGTCTCTACAGCGGTTTGCAGTTGCGGTTATATGTTTGGGACATGATGATGTAAGCCCTCCTATTAATAAAGATTGACGATGGTTTAACTTTATATTTCAGCATCGAAACACGCACCAGAATCTTCTGCCGAGGAAGGCCAAAGCATGTTAGCCTCGAATGAAAAAGGAGCTGTCAGCGATCCTACGAAAACAGCTGACGGCGACGGTGAGTTCAAGAAAACGGTATTTCAATATAATCATATCTCATTAGAAAATAATATACCAGCCCCCTCAGTGCCCAATACAGCAGCAGAAATATGCACCCCAAATGGTTTGCTATTACTTAATAGTGAGTTTAAAAGTGTGCAAAGAGATTGTTGATACAACAATAACGAATCATTTTAAGCATATAAAAGAAGTTAATATTTATGCACAGCAAGGACGATGGTATGAGAGGTTAACCATGCTCAAAGAACAGACCGTCTATGCTCAGTGCACGTAAAWCGTTTCTATAAGCAGACAGCAACTAACAAAACTATAGTGTCAAAAACTATATTGTCACTATAATCATGGCGAATGAAATCGAATCAATAAAGAGCTTTCGTTTTAAGTTATGCCGGCACAATTTCACTAAACAACTCTGTTAAATGTTAACCATTTTAACATTTCGGAGACCAATCTCAAAGAGAGTATATAATAGATTTTGGTTGGAAATAAAATAATTGCAAGCACGGGTTTCATCTATGATTTAAAGTTTTACATAAATACAAAGAAAAAAATATGATAGTGGAGACTTTAAATTTAAGATTTACACATGTTTGTATCAGTTAAATCTGACTTCATGATAAAAAAATGGCGAATTGAAATCACCAGTGCCACACCTGAAGGTTTAAGGCCTATCTTTTACACTTTTTCGATGCATTAGTGCTCTTTCTAGCATGTGAATAAAATAGGCTTGGACATTACAACAATTTCCATCTAATATCAAGTCGATATCGATTATCAGTGTTTTATATAGTACAGAAATATGAATAGTAACGATGCTASAATTAACGAAATTCACACCTTGTCTTGTAAAATGTCATTTAAAGAAAGAAAACCAACAAAGCGTCAATAGGGAGAGCTTATTATCTAATTGACTAAAATAGTATATTTAACACAGCCTCAACCACCTTGCATCGAGCATAATTTCGGTAAAACATACTCAAGTATACATTTTAGTGTAGGCCTGAAAAATGAGAAATGAGATATGTTTTTCATCAGCAAAACTGCAACAAATTTTTGGGTTGTCAAACGTCTTCAAACGCCATCCATTATGTTTGAAGCTCCATCCAATAACATCAAACAGAGCGACCGACTGCCTTCAAACTCCATCCAACATGCTTTGTGCGCCATCCAACAACATCCCGCACCCTMCAACAAGATGAAACACCTTCAAACACCATCAGTGTTTTTAGCCCTTTATTCAACAAGGTGGCCACGCAGCAAAATGTTTGATTTTGCAACAATCTTTGATGCTGTTTGGCTATTCATTGTTTCACGGTTGTCAAAGGTTCATAAAAGTGTCAATCGATTACAATGAATGACTTCAGGAGGCAAGACTTAGATATGCAAGASTATTACAATAAGCAGGGAGAAAGAAGATTAGCAACTGAGAACAAATACACTATATCTCTAAAATAWGAAAATGAGGTCAACGACCACAAAGTTTCATCCTAACATAGTTCAACATACGTTAAGATCAACGATCAAAAAACTGGGGGTCATTTGTTGTAGAGGTTATATAGAGTCTGCAAAGTCGAAGCCAGCAATCTTCAGGAAAAATATATTATGGTTCATATTTCATAAAATATTTCAGTCTAACGTTAGTTTTTATGACCAGCAATGAGATCAAATAAATCGATAAATGAGAACAACAGATGATGTAGTGTGCATGTCACCAGAATACGCCTTCCAGACATTGAATCATTACTATTTATTATATAAAAGACAAAACACGCTTTTTTCGTAATTGAGGCTTTTGGCTCTAGTATTCTAGGTATTTAAACAACATTTCTCATTTAATAGCTGCCATTCCATTTCGTATTTCTAGATTATTTGTTTGAATATCAGCAATATTATTACTTGTCCCAATGACGAAAGTCTGAGGAGGGGAAAGAGAGTAATTTAACGAAAGCAAATTYCAAAAATGCGTAAGAGTTCCTCTGACAAAAAAGACTACCAAAGMAAAATTCTTTTCTTCTATATATATTCTTTAAATAATGAAAACAAGTATACACCAAATTAGCAAAAAAAACGTTTTCAGGTTCCAAAAGATGACATTATCAACGATAAACTACAGGAGGATATGTGTTAGTATTTGGAAAGTTGTATCATATATATGTCAAAACATGTACATGTGGAGACAAATAATACTCATGTCAGTAAATGTAAACTATTGATACCGTTTTGATAGGATTATAGATTATAATGTATCAGTGGTATTGTATCGGAAAAGCTGGAGATCTGTGACGTCATGCCCGAACGGTGACCGACGCACTAATAGACTCACGAGAACGACGCACTTACTAACGCTGTATCACAATGACACTAGCAATKCTTTCACAAAATGCCCAGCCAATTGGATTCGATAAATCATATTTCTCACTAACGTAAGGACCGTAAGGGCCTAATTTCATAGAATGTTGCTTTTGACAGTGTTTGTAATAGAGCAGCCTGTGTGTAGTACGTTCTAAAACGCCCGGCATTGCAATCGCAACAAAACCTTTCAAATCGTTCTTTGTATAATTATTAGTTTAACGCCCTCAATTAAAGGGGCCGGCGGTGTCTTACATATTTCGATTATATCTTTACGCGGCACAAATTGCATTTCAATGTGGACCCATTTCGCTTTAACGCCTAAAGCAATTGCCCTTTGTAGACATGTCGGCTCATGGACAAAATAAAAAGAGTGCTCTGTACTTATGTAATGTATTACATTATATCCATTGCTTTGTTGAGGAAGAGCCCTAAAGCTAAAATTAAAAAAAAAAAAAAACTAAAAAAAAGCTGAAATGGTTTTTAAAATATTTCCGTTATACAAACCATCAACACTGAAGTCCTGTATATTTCTCGCAGCTGAATATTCAAAAATATGACAGATAGATGTGTGTTTGTGTGAATAATCTTTGTTCTCGTCTTTTGTAATAATGTTTGGCTTTCCGATACAATTAAATATAGCGAGACTTCAAAACCACAATGTATGATTATCTTTAAACTAAAAATACGATTAACGTTTAAAAATAGATAAAATACCGATACATAGAATATATGATCATTTTTGGAACCGACAAACGAATATAAAAAGTAACGGCTTAAAGAAGACTTATAGAGCTTCTAAAATGTCCCTAAAATGACCGGAGATAGACTGAAACATGGGTGTCAAATTAGGGACTTGTGTTTAAATGTTTAAATATTTAATAGTAATAGACCACTAGATTATGTAATCCATGCCTTTACACAAATCCTTCCAAATCGAATATATACTAAACATCATAGCAGTACGATAGTCTAAAGTGATGAAATAACGAATAAAAAACAAACCGAAATTGTGCGATTTAAATCGMAAAAAAGACGATACTAGAAATGCAAAAACATGCGGTCATACTCATGACGCAGGCGCATTAGCATGCACCTGTTTTGTTTTCAATCGCTTCGGCAAACTCTTACGGCATGATTGTGGRTTTGAAGCGATCGTGATCTAAATAATATGGGACAAGATTTAGGGAAAACAAGCCGTCTCCTAAGTAAGTACACATAAAAAGATTCCCACGGATTTCTCTGTTATTTCACTTGTTCAACGAAGTATCTAAACCTAGTGTTGCTGTGCTTGGTATCAAACATTTTTAATAGGTATCAGGCGAAAGGGAAGATGCCCTCCTGAACAAGCTCGTTTCAAAGGAGCGGAGTTGCAATCTACAGACGGTGGGGATTGTTACATGTTTAATTTGTGTTTCAATGTGTACACAAACAGTTGTCTTATAAGGAGAAATATATTAGATCGTTATTTGTAAGTTACATTTGATGGAATACTTAACTTGTACTAAGCTTAAATTATGTTATCAGAGAAAAATATCTGTGTTTGGAATGACAGATTATTAGYATCGTCTGCATTTGCTTCTTTTTTTAATGTCGGGTTACATAGAAAACGTTGTTTTTTATATCGTCACATGGACATGCCAAGGATGTTGTACGCCCTCTGCCAGGGTCGTTGTCCTGTTTGTTTACTCGAGTGTCCTTTTAGCTTGTTGTAATCGTAGTCTTTGTTTTATTCGMCCCGAAAAAATACCGAGTTAGAGGACATATATTATTGATGTAAACCATATTTTTCGTTGCTTTAATATTACGAGATCATCTTTATTTTGTATTATTCAGAAATTTAAAAATATTTCACAGTAGATTGTTTTGAAAACTGGTTGTAAATATTGATATTTAGCTGGAAAGTATCCAGGGTCTTGAAAAATTTTGTACACTCGCATGGATTGTACAGTAGGTCGTTTTTGATCTCAAAATCTTTGTACAAAAGAGAACTTGTTATGCTCAATACATTAGTAAAAACTTGCGGTTTTGCTAAAGATAACTGAAAAGCTCGTCACGTCTAGTATATGTAAATTCGGTAAGAGCTCCTGACAAATAAAAACAATTAACATGATGTTTTTTGAAAYTGAGAAACGAAAATGATCAAATATGTAATTAAACTTACTCTTTCAAGATATTACACTAAAAAACAAGTATTACACTAAAAAAACAAGTAGCTTGTGGTGATAGAAATAAATACGATAATGATAATTAAATACTGATGCTAAGTGTGKTACAATATTCCAAAGGTAGTTACTGAGATTTATGCAAACATATATTGTAACCTTATGCAAGCATATATTATGTATGTTTCTGTAAAACTGTTTAATGAACAAAAATTTGAAACCAAAATCATAGCAATTCTATTATAGCATTGACTACACTAGGGGAAAAAATCATATGAAATAAAAAGCACACACACACAAAAAAAAAACGAAAATTCAGTACAATTTACAAATTGCAGCAAGTAAAAAATATATAATAATAGTTATCAAATTACAAATCAACATATCAGTGTTTTGCACTGATACCACTGACAGCTGTCGACAAGCCTCCCTACAGCCAGTGTATTCTACTTCTTTCCATCATTTTATTCATTTCATTAAAAATTCATTTGTCTCTGCATCTTTTACCTTTATGACTAAAACTCCACAACAACTTGCTAATTTGCAAACCAAGATAATCCCTTTGTCTGCCTGTTTTAACCAAGAAATTATAAAATGTCTACACGTTTCTGTTCTCTGATATAAACAAGGTAGGACATTAGAACAGAGAAAAAGCAAGACAGTGTTTCATTTGCTTCAAAAGTCCTCTCTATATCTCCCACCAAGTTTATATCGGAATAGACACAAGCAGCCATTTTATACTTCCGTCTTTTATAGCGTGCGAGTGGCAAGCCATGTCTCTGAACTGTTATATAAACAACCAATGGTTTCAAAAATGCTCTAATGATATATTATAATTTCTAATAATATATATTTATATTTTTCAGAGATTCAATATGTTACTCACAATGGAAATCGCCTTGATGGTCTTGAAGACCTGCTACAGCACACAAAGTTTACAAGACAAGAATTACAACGAATGTATAGAGGTTTTAAAAATGTAAGTATCACTTTTCTCACATCTCATATAGAGTTAATGGTAGTGCAATCCACTGATCCTGTATTCTAAGGTTGGATCTCCTATGTTACTATAGCTACAATGGACAAGCTGTAAACAAATTTTCAATAAATAGTGGGTATTATATTATATAAGTATAATAATCAAGTATGCTTGACACGGATAGCAACTATAAGTTTCATGTTTTCACAATGAAGATTGCACTCTTTTGACRACTGGATATTCACTACAGTTATTAGTGGGTATTATATGTGGATGTCTGCCCTAAAGATGGTAAAAGCGAAGCATCAATAAAATTTAATAAAATATCTTATGAAGTTGAGTTACATTTTGGTTTCCACTGGGAAAACCGATCCATTGTTCCCTGAAGCACACAGCCAGGATCAATGAATAAATAGCTTTGTCAGATTTACTTTATAATCAGTTACAAAATTTAACACAGTTACTAATTAACACATTATATATAATGTCATACTTCAAATGATTTTAAAGCTATGAAAATTTAATACTGTGAGAAAAGAAATCATGAAATTAAATAATAATGACTAAGATAACTTTTTTTCATCCAATCAGTATAAGAACTATGATCCAATTAAGGCTTTCAAAGAAAAACTGTCACCTCATATCAGTAACAAGAACTATGGTTAACCTACATATCCACAAAAAATAATATCTTTTAGTAAATTCCCCTTAAATATACAAATAGAATAATTACTGCTGCAGTTGATAAAATGAAGAATTGACAACATTCAAAATTTACCCATTTCAAATTTCAGATTTTTTGCTTCTTTTGGTAATTTATTTTAGAAACATGCATACTTCTGTTTTCCAGGAATGCACAAATGGCTTAGTAGACCGTGATACATTCAAGAAAATATATGCTCAGTTCTTCCCTTATGGAGGTAAATAAATTGCAGATAGTGTATTAGAATAACATGCTACCCTATTATCAAATTAAAATACTAAGCAAGAAATTAGTCTTACTAGAATCATAAATCACAATAAAGAAGAAATATTGACGATTCAGGACATTGGTCCTTTATTCAGAACTACGGATGCAGCTCACACTAGTTTAGAGCTAAGCTAGTTATCTTTGTATTTAATCAAGTACATTTTAACTACCTTACTTAAATAGTGAGTGACTATAATGAACTGAGGKGCTGGTACCATTTTTACACAGGGTACCCTTCTGGGCCCTGCAAAAATGTTTGGTGACTTAGTTCTTTACTCTCAGACGACTAACTGTCCACCTTGAGACACAAGAAAAATAATATTCCTGAGTCCTGAATCCTGAGAGATTTCAATTGAGTAGAAAACCAACAAAGAGAACTGTGATGAATTAGTGTGAATATAAAAAAACATGACCAGGTCACCACATCTAGTGACATAACCACATAACTACAACTTCTTAACTTATGCTATTTTATGTTACAGTAGTGTGAAAGTATGCTGACTTTATATCTACATGATTGTTTTCATATGTGCTATAACTCCACCTTAGATCTATGTTGACAAGTTGTTACATAAACTTATGTGGTCAAATACATAAACTAAACTTACTATAGCCTTACTAAATAATCCCACCCTTAAAAAAAGAATTTTTAACATTAACCTTGGTTTCTATTCTAGATTCTAGTCAATATGCCAACTTACTATTCAACGTCTTTGATCAAAACAAGAATGGGAGGATTTCCTTTGAGGTATGACTCAAAGTTRATTTAATAGACAAGATAGTATGCTTGGTTTCTTTGCTATAGATATTTATGAACAGCTTATATTTAGCTGTGGGCGCTGATACCTCCCTTTCAGATTTTCACAAAGTCTATGGTGCAAAATATATGCCTTCAAACTTACCTCCAGTAGATGTGAAACAGCGTAACTTCATTCTTTAAAATTCCCACCAAAATCAAACGTTTGTTTAACATTTTCATCACGAACTGCACCTTGAATACCAATACAAAATCTTATCAATGAGAAATAAGCTTTTTCGCAGTAARAAAGGGAGAAAATACAGCAAAGACTCCAGCAGGATTCAGCACTCGTTACTACTAGTTCACTTATAAATAATTACCGCATTGTGACGTAGTAATTGATTCTCGTTTCTGATTGGCTAAGGTGATTGGCGGGAAACATGACGTTGCAATGCGCGCGTTGAGTACCAACTTTARTCTGGGTTTCCTGTGGTGTTAAGAGTTGCGGGAGTTTGAAAACCTTGAAATCTTTTTTTTTTCGATTTTTCTAGGATTTTGTTCTCGGACTATCTGTGTCGCTCCATGGTACTTTAGATGAGAAAATGAAATGGGCCTTTCAGCTGTACGACTTGGACGGTGATGGAGTTATAACAAGAGAGGTAGCCTATGAATATATACATGTATATTCCCCAAAATGGGCCGGGAAATATAAGCCAGCGCTGTCCTAAGAGAAAGGAAATACTGGGTTAAAATGGTATTACTGTAACGCCGCTATTTCCTGAGGTTTTTGGGAGTGGCGCGTCGATTCCGTTATAGAGTTAAAACTTTCAGATACTATATGTATCTGCGGCAAAAATTAAGGAATATACTCTTCGTTGATTCACAATAACTTTTTCCTAATTAACCATTTTGTTTGGTTTTGTCAGGAGCTTGCGACAGTAGTTCACTCCGTGCATTGCATGATGGGCGARGCCTTATCATCTGGAGAAGAGTGTAGTGTTCAAGAACAAGTCGAGAGATTATTTGCGGTAAAAGTGATAGCATCTTATCTTTTGTACATGTTTGCATTTYAAAGGTGACCGAAGTGATAATGAACAAATGTGAAGTCTTTCAAGATTATGATRATGATTATAAAGATGATGACGATAAAACAGTAATTAAAATAGTTCTCGATATTAATGTGTACACAGCTTATGGATACGAACGAAGATGGCGTTATTACAGAAGATGAGTTCATTGAAGGATGCAAAAAGGTCAGATACTAATYTGTTGAACTTTCCCACAAACTTCTGCTCTGTTCATCGAAGCAGATCATGCCCGGAGATCATGCAGTTAGATTCTCTTAGAATCTCATTCATTTTTGAGAATTTTTTTCTGTTTGTTTTCATCAGGACGAATCAATAAAACAAAGCCTTGCTGTGCTATCTTCAACCCGATAATTCAATGGAAAAATGGMAAAATTATACATTCTGCATTTCCGTTCCTGCTTTACATCTGCGTCGGTGCATTTGATAACCAACTCTTCATTTTTATGAAGATCAAAMCAAACATTCCTTTTTGAGAATATCTTTATGTATAGAATTATTGGCGTGTTTTGTTCACGACCAGTGCGCTTGTGATAAAGAACACTACATAACTGATAGACATAATGCAACTACTCTTCTGTTGTCTGGAGCTGTCACTCACAATATTGAAGTTTCTCTGGCTGAGGACGTATTGGCGCCATGGTGTACCATGAAGCGTGAGCCATGGATCTTATTTAGTCGCGTGGCTATTATTCGTGCTGCCAGTCCAGGTTTRGTCGGAGACCATTGGGCAAAAACTGCCAAGCCAAAGATTGCACTTCCTGGAGAAGTGTGCGCTGAGACAGTGTCAGCTATAGGATGAGAATCAAAAGACTTGTGTAAATATTTCTTTAATTCTATACTGCGACTTGGCAGTGCAGTTTCAAAACTAATATATGAAAAATGAACTATATTGATTGAGAATGTCKTTGTATAATAGAATTATTTCAAATCTTTTCTGATTGCCAAACGCTTAAATATCTGCATGAATAGAAATACTAATATAAAAATACAACATGCAGAACAGTTTGTAAGAGTACCTGTGATTTTTACTTGCTCAAATATAGATTATTGCCAAATCTAGACGGGACTGGTAACTTTTAGCTTCATGAGAGGTCTATGGTCCATTGAGGGGGTCGCAAAGGCGGATGGGAGGGCATGTTATCCCCTTTTGACGAATTGCGCGCAGCAAATTCAAAGTATGTCACTCTAGCCGACAGCTTGGACTCAGACCGGAATTGTGTATTTCACATGTTGATATATTTCTCTCATTCTGGATGATTATCAGCTTCCTTGACTGCAGTCAAAAGTTACTACACATATATCTGACTATCTTTAATRAATCATCAATATATACTGATATCTTGCCCCCAGCATTCAATGAAAGAAGTATGAATAAATTCTTGGAGCACCAATCCAGTTATGTGTTAAGAGCCAAAGTGGTTTTGGTTTTGGTTGTTGTTGCTTTATTTCTTGTTGGGGGGATTTTTTGTTTTGGGTGGGGGGGGGGGGGGGGGGGGGGGGTGGCTGTAAATAGTAAACCTGTTGAAACCAGACTCAACTGTACTCAATGATTTGTCTTTTGTTAAGAAATTGCAACAGAACAGACGAAGGAGGGATAACAGTTATTTGACATCCTCTAAAATGAAGAAGAAATGCAAGGACGGAATCCTGAAATTATCATTCTTTTCTAGCGTGCGTAGCGGCCAAAAAGGGAATGGACTAGGCCCTCCCCAATCCCTTTAGGGCCACTACACAGGCTAGTTCTTTTCTGGTTCAGTCATCTCACAAAGTAGACGTCGAATAGATTTACGTTGTGCCATTGGTAAAAACATTTAACTTCGGGTCAAACTAAAAAAGCCACTATAGTTTCGACGAGAACGCGAGAATAAAGCCGATTCCGTACACAAACTACACTCAATTCGTTTCGATGACCGTCCTGTAATTCAGCCGTGATCTTTTCCTCACAGTTTTAATCGCGGTATCATTAACAGGTCCCATGATCATGCCGTGATTCCGTGCCGTTTAAAAGTCGCACAGAATCTGTCCTTTCAGGTCCTAAAGGCGTAGACTCACGCGCATGCCCAAGTTGCGGACATCTGAGGTTCATGCAAGTCATGCAACTGTCGAAGGAAACTAACTGAYWACAAATTTTGGAAATTAGACTCCTATACAAATAAATCTTCCATTTCGACCATTCATTCRTAAATTAAATTCTGAAGGGCGGCTGAAGTTTGAGGAACTCCGGAAGGAAGTGCATATTCTATCGCGTGGATATCAATCTACAGCCATTGATGCTATCAGTGTAAAAGGAACAGTTAAAAATGCGCGGGCAACATATGGCTTCTCCAGTCTCCACGTCCAATATATGATGCCATGAGTTACAAAGACAAGTATACTTGTATATAGCGACGTATTATATATATCATAGCAGATAATCTTTAACATGTACCATAGCCATTGCGTTGTACATGGAGCCACTCCCATCCACAACACAATTAATTTAGTTCTTCACGAGCATATGAAGAGCGCTCGTATCATCGTATAGTCTGCTGTTTGGATCCGTGATGAAAGCTGCTGAAGTACACGCATTGCATATATTTCTAAACAACCTTGTGCATTTGTCTTCCATAGCGGAGCGCATCATGGGCAATTGGATCAGGCTTGTGTGCACCTCAAAGTTTAATTGATTGGGGTTATGTTTTTCCGTTATCAGCRTTTTTTTGCTCTGAGGTGGGGAAAAGCCGAGGGTGGAATTTTTTTTGATGACTCTAAGCACAGTTACCTCTACTAACTATGGTCTGATTCTCTTATATCAGACACACAAGGAAGTCCTTGGAGAGGTGCGTGYGCGCATTCAACAGCACGTGATTCAGACCCCTGGTTACACGAAATAGATCGTTGTTACTATGGAAACATATTTGTTTAAGACCTGTCGCTCAAAAGACTCGAAATAGTGAAGATACCACCAAGAATAGCACCTTGAAATTTACCCTCTTTCGTTTGCAGGTAGAATACTGTCTTGTCAAAGTCAGACAATTGGACGAACATGAATAAATTATGTATTTGTATATGTAAATCACAGTGGTATCACCTTTAGATAAGGAAGAGATTAAAGCTTACAAAAACACCTTATTTTGGGGGTGTCGTGACTWATTATGAACTAATAACCGTGTAAAAAACGCCCCTAGAGTCAAACCATTCGAAGAGTTTCAAGCGCGCGCGTCGTCAGAGTGAAAAGAATGCGCGGAAGCATTTTGGAACAATTAGAATGCACAAGACATTAGAAAGAATCATTTTTTTAAAGGCGTCCAGTTTCTTTCGGTTGTATCCTATTTAAAAAATGAAAAAATTGTTTGTTATATTTTTGTTTTGGGCAGTTGTAGTGCCACGTGTTACAAAACAATTCATTTGACCAACCTTTCCATTGAAAGTTTGACCCGAAAATTTAACTAATGGTAAGCGAGTTAATCCGATAAAAGTCTGAGAATGTTTTCGATGCCATATTATCAAGATGAAAGTTTTCAAAAGTTTAGGAAAATATATATATATTTTGCTTGAAAATTGGTAAAAGCTGCCAACAAAACATGATCCCTGATCAAATCCACGTGACCGAAATGAACCAATCAGTTACGGGTGTTTATCATCGGTCGGAGAGACGGTAAACGCATGTGTAGTATTTGTCTCCCGAACTCACAGGGCGTTGCAAGAAGGTGTGATCGTCGAAGCTTTGCCTTGTACTTCGTTTCGGCCGAGTTTCTCGATAGATCCTTCACAATGTCTGCCTCCAAATCCGGTCGAGCTATCACTGAAATGAAAGCCAGGCGTTTGAGCGCCCCAGCGAGGAGCAAAGCCGTTAAAAGGCCAGAGGATATCGTTCGCGATGTTAGAGGACTCAAGCTACGCCAACGAGTTTCCCTTGTTCTCAATGACAAGGTGCTACGAGAAGAGCTGGAAGATATCGTCGAAAATTTTGTCCACAATGGACCAAAGCACACAGAAAACATACGTGCCTATCAGGATTTCTTAGTGCCTACATATGGTGGCGGTAGCGGAGGATCTGTTGTTACTCCAATCTCCGATATTCGTGGCTCAGATACTCTCAACTACTCGAAGCAGGAGCGTCTTCTACGCTGCAAGCTTGCCTCGGTTTACCGTTTAGTTGATTTATTTGGATGGACTTCAGGCATCTATGGCCATGTAACTGTAAGTAGGGAGGGTTTATGTGCTTTCTCGTAGGGGATTTCTTTGTAGACTTGTTTGGCGATTTTGAATGCTACCGCGCCATTCAAAATCATTTCAGTTTATAAACAAAAAAGACAAGAAATGACCGACGACCCTTGAAAATTTCAAAGATAAGAATATTCTCTATACACTTGGTTTAAGGCTGATTTGTCTATCAGGTGGAGGTCTATATGCCGTTACCTACGGAAAGGTTTTTTGACCTGCAGTGAAGTGATTATCGTATGAGAARCTGACATTTGATTTCAAGTTTGTGATGAGCACGTTTCCCTTTATGCTAGTCGCACTGTCCGTGATAAACTCATCATTGTTGTACTTTGGTCTTTCAGGCACGGACATCACCAGAAGACGAACACTTCTTGCTTAATCCTTTTGGGCTTTTATACAGCGAAGTAACTGCTTCAAGTCTAATAAAAGTAGACTTGAAAGGCAATGTTATTGATAATGGTAGTACGAACCTTGGAGTGAATAAGGCCGGGTTCGTTTTGCACTCAGCCATCCATGGAGCACGGAAGGACATCAAATGTATTGTCCACCTTCATCAAACAGCATGTACAGCCGTAAGTATTCAAGTCTTGATCAGGATCTCTTAATTCATAGCTAAATATTTTCAAAACGGCCAAAAAAAGCTTTAGAAACATTCATTCTTTCSAGAGCTTTTGACTGGTCAATCAATGCCCATGAAATCTACAAAGCCAGACAGTTTGTATTAAATTTCACGAAACCTTATTTGTTGATTTCAACCAAAGCATATTTTAAGTCAAGAGACAATTTTGCTTTAAATTTTTGTTTCTGCAAGTTCGTACGTGTTATAAATACAGCTGGAWATAGCTTTTCTCTAGAACATTCAATATCTCTATGTAATTTAAACTTCAATCAAATTCCAAGATCCATCRATCAAAGCCAGAAATCTTTCTTTATATTTTTTTCCGCTGTATGAAGGAATATTTTGTTTAAAAAGATGATTCTGATCTTGAGTAATTCTTTTCATGTACAGTTAAGAAATAAGTTTCTGTTGACAATGTTTTCATTCCAATGTATGGGTATTTGTTTTGTTATCATGTACTCCAAGAGGGGTCAGGGAAAATCTAAATTTGAACATATTACAGATCAGCAGCCTCACTCATTCATYGTGCACTTCTAAGTTTTATAATTTGTAGATGATATAGGTAAAAGAATAAACTTTCTAGTGAGTTCGTATCTGTATATATTATATACTGTCACCTGCAACTTTCTAGACATAATTAACATCATTATAATACATTTATGGAATTCTCTATTGAAGTTATTGAAGTCAAATACTTGAGTTCTTTTTGTGAATTTATGCATATGGATGTAATTTTGATAAACATTTTGACTTTTTTATTAAATATTACCACCCAGAAAACATACTAAGAAAAATTGTTTTCTAAACCTGATATCTTTGTCATTAACAATTCTTATTTCATAATGTTGTGATTACAACTCTACCAAATGTTGAAAGAATATTTTTGAAATGTTTTAAAAGGATTCCTTTGTATTGATTCTAGTATTTTCATCATTTAGGTAAAGATTCTGACARATTTATGTCTGAAATTTGTCATGTGTAAAACTATTGCTATTGTAGTACAATCAGACAATGAGAACCAATCATTAACACAAGTGTTTGTCAATATCAAGCTGATATTGAAATCAGTAATTTTCATGTGCACAAATATGTATTATTTTAATTAAAATCATTGGATATCCTTTACTCTTTTTCTGTGAATATATTATATTTCGCAAGAAATGTGTGCTTTTTTTTGTGTAATTTTGTGTAATCTTTAGAGTTATCCACAACCTAGCAATGTAAATTTGTTTATTATATGATAGTGTTTATGGACCATTTTTATAAGCAAAGTTTATTAGTATATATCACATGAATTATTATCTTTATGAAGAGCATTCAAGGCATAGCTATAACCAATCTCCCAAAGAGATGCAACAATGAATATATTGATATAAATTCATCATTAAATTTTGATGCACATTTAGAGTGTGGTTTTTTGGTATGTTTTGATGGGAACAAACCTTTTATTACGTATTAATTATATATTCCAGTAACAAAAGCRTTTGGCTTGTTGCTGCTCACTGTCCAATATTTTTATATATTTRTTTTGTCTTAAGCTATGATAAAAAGTACTMTCTATTATTTTGTGKTGTACATTTGTTGGCTGGCTCTATAGCAACCATTCTTGGTTAACCTACATATAGACATAATTTGTTTGGCATTTTCAGTTAGAATTAACTCATTTGACAGTTCAAAGATTCTTCTGTTCATTATATTATTTTTTTGTTTTTTATTAATATTTTTAGTACAAAGTAAATACTCATCATTACACCTACTTGCAGAAACGTTGTCATAGAAAATAGAACATTTGAATTGAGTAAAAAGGAATAAATTAAAACAAGACAAAAGAAAGCGTTCAGCCTCAGTGATCTTCTTTTGACTAAATACAAATGTCCTATTTTCTATGACAACATTTTCGCAAGTAGGTGTATCTTCCAAATGCTATTTTCTGTGGATTTGAACAGTATAAGTATTTACACCAAATTGTAACTTGTTTGCTGGAATGCTATCAAAAAAAACTTAATTTGTGTTTCAGTGAGAGAGGAATACACTAAAAGATAGAAAGTTCTACACCTACTTGCGAAAACGTTGTCATAAAAAATAGGAATTTGTATTTTAGGAAATAGAAATAAATTAAAAAGACAAAAGAAGATCACTGAGGCTGAACGCTTTCTTTTGTTTTGTTTTAATTTATTCCTTTTTACTAAATTCGAATGTCCTATTTTCTATGACAACGTTTCTGCAAGTAGGTGTATATAGATTTTGTGATATTAAACTTACTTTTTACCTATTTGCAATATAAAATGTTTGKTTTTTGCAGGACAGTATTCTTGCTTGCACAGATGTTAAGTTTTTTGTGGATATCAAAGGCAAATATTTCTCTTTAAGCTTCTAAGACAATTGATTAAAACTGTGCATTTTAATCTCAGTTCCCTTTTATTTATTCCCAAAGAAATGGCAATTATATGTTCTAAATGACATACCTTTGTACAATCTACTGCTGGGATAAAATTGTATTTGTGCAGAAAGAATGTACACTTTTAGAATGTAATATTCAATATTTGAATAATTTTCATAACAATCCACCATATTCATTATTTATTATTGCACTTAGTTATATTTTGACCTTAATTTTGAAGTTAAAATGAAGCTTTGCAAGCATAGAATCCTGCAAGTACTAGTAGATGTTTCAAAATTTGTTGGTATTTTTTGGTGTTGTATGCTATACAGCCTTTTGCACAAATTATGAGACATTTTTATATATATAAATATACCTAACCAAATATCAAAAACACCCCAGAAATTATGGTATATCTCTATTATATTTTGTCATGATTGCCTAGCATCAGGTTGTTACAGACAAAATATCAGCGACGGTATCCCATAATTTCTTGGGTGTTTTTGATATTTGGTTAGGTATATTTATATATATAAAAATGTCTCATAATTTGTGCAAAAGGCTGTATAGCATACAACACCAAAA